ATATATATATAAATTTATTTTTCTCTCTTTTCCTTTTTTGTTTTGGAAATGTTCTGTTTGTGACTTTTTGTTCTCAAAAACACATTTTTGAAGTTAAAGGTATTAAATTGTTTATGCACTCTGTGATGTGTAACCACCTTTGTTTTGTAAGCAAAATATCAGTAAAAGATAAAAACAGTTTGTGGGTGCAGAGTAGGTCAGACTCGTGTACAGTCCTGACACATTTCTCACTGATGGTGAAGCTGTTTCTGTGCTACAGTTCATCAGAAATCTTGAAAAAATATAATAAATAATAATTTATTTTTTCTAAATTAAACAAACTGTAGAAAAACATAATGACTTCACGTGTGTCTTCAGATGATTCCTGTCTTTAAATCAACAGAAACAGGAGGAAAATAAAAAGGTTTAATGAGACACAGGCTCAGAGAAGCTCCAGGTGTGTGTCTCACCTGAGCAGCTTTCTTCTCCTCCTCGAAGGCAGCCAGGTCCACCTCCAAGCCCTTCTCCTCAGCAATGAGCGAGGTCAGGTCCAGAGGGAAGCCGTAGGTGTCGTACAGCAGCCAGGCCGTGTCGCCTGCAGACACCAGCAAACCACTGGGCTTTACACAATGATTCAAAACACCTGGGCCTGCTCAGGTGGACAGGTGAGTTAGCATCAGCTCTGACCACCACCATTAACACTTTGCTTTAACAAAGCTGATGCTAACTCAGGTGTACAGGTGAGTTAGCATCAGCTCTGACCACCACCATTAACACTTTGCTTTAACAAGAGCTAAAAACAAACAATCAGATGTGAATCATCAAGTAGAGCTGATGTCAGACAGAAAATACATCCTTTGACATGTAAAGTTTGTGTTCAAACATCATCAACATGTAGGAAAACAGGAAGTCAGAGGGATGAAGGACGGACAGCCTGATCCACCCTGACTAAACGTAAACAAACAAATAAACAAACAAACATAAACAAACAAACAAGGAGGAACAACAGTGGGGGAGTATGAGTTCTGATCTGAGCTGAGAGGTTCTGGTTCTGGCTCACCTGGTATAGTCCTGCACTCTCCCAGACTCAGGATCTTCCTGTCCAGGATGCGGCGCCCCCTGCTGAGGGTCTTGAGGAACTGCGCCTCCTCGTCATTGATGATGTCCTTCACCATGTCCGGGTCTTTCTTCAGCTCTGGGAAGGCGTCTCCCTGCAGGAGGAAGACAAAGTGTCAGACCCTAACTGAAGAGGAAGAGGAGGAGGAGGAGGAGGAGGAGGAGGAGGAGGAGGCTGTTGTTGCTCTCACCAGTGAGTGGACCACAACATCCACCAGAGAGGAGAAGAAACCTCTCTGAGCTCCAAGCTTCTCATGTGAGTAACGAACGGCACGCCGCAGAATCCTCCTCAGCACGTAGCTAAACACGCCAAGAACCAAGAACCAGACAGACGTTACAGCCCTGAACTTACACACACACACACACACACACACACACACACACACACACACACACACACACCCTCTTCCTGTGTTGTCGGGCCGGCCGCCGTCCGACAGGGCGATGGTGATGGTGCGGGCGTGGTCGGCCAGGACTCTGTAGGCCATGTCGATCCCGTCCACGTCATCAGGACCCACTTTCCCCGTGTAGGACCGAGCTCCTGTACCCTGAAACCAGAACCCTGTCACTGCAGAGACTCGTCAAGTCCTGAGGTCTTTCAAGAGTTTCACCAGAATTAGTGATAAAAACTAAAAACATAAAGTAGCTTTTAATATAAGGTGGAGCCCCATCGTGTTAATACATCCTTCTCACTGGATACCTGGGGTTGGTACACAACTGTGATGAAAAATGTACGGACTAGTTCTCCTCAGAGTAGGGATGGGTACTGAATTTGATACTTTTATAAGTACCAACTGAATTCTGTGGGTACTACAGAGTATCTATTTATGTAACATCAAACAGTCCCATGTTTCAATACCTAAACACATAACCAGCTGTGTTTCCATGAAAATGCGCAAATTAGAATTTCAAAAATAAATTTGCTCAATGGAAACACGTCAATTTTGAAAAAAATTGTTTTTCAACAAAATGTTTTTGCTCTAGGATGAGGTGGTTTTTCAGTCGTATCTAAATTGGTGTTTTTCACAAAACTGCAATGGAAACAGTTTTTTCACATCACAGGAGTCACGTGATCAACAACCGTCTGTTTCTACTGGTGAAAAAGACTAAGGATGTCCCGATACCACTTTTTCACTTCCGATACGATAC